CACACACACACAGCCTCTCCACACACTCAGACACACAGTGACACACTGTGAAGACAGTCACACACACACACAGCCTCTGCACACACTCAGACACACAGTGACACACTGTGAAGGACAGTCACACACACACACAGAGCCTTTCCACACACTCAGACACCCAGTGACACACTGTGAAGGACAGTCACACACACACACAGCCTCTGCACACACTCAGACACACAGTGACACACCGTGAAGGACAGTCACACACACACACAGCCGTCCGCACAGCCACAGGCTGCCGTGCCACTCACTGCGACACACAGTGGCCATGCAGTACTATGATATAATTAATGACTCACATGTATCTGGTCTCTGTCTCTAGCTCCTGCTCAAAGCCCTTGGAACCCTCGTGTCTGACAAGAGTGAGAGAAGCATCTTCTATAATAACATTTGAATGTTGGAAATAAATTCAGCTAAAGGAGAACCTTTTGGTTACCCATACCAACCTGCTCTCCAGCACACCCCAGGTTATATTAATGAGGTGACTTTTGGAGAACTCCTAGGAAAGAGAAAAAGGCTGACACAGGAACTAACCATGCGACTATCAAGACTGGAGTTTCAGTCCTGTCCTGACTTCCAGGGAGAGTAAGTCTGGAGGCTGAGTTAGTTGTCAATGGGCAATGGTTTGATCAATCCTGCCTATGTAATAAGGCCTCCATAAACCCTAACTGAAGAAGTTCTGCCTCCACAGGGAAGCCCCTGGGCTCAGGTCTCTTCTAGACTTTAAGTTTTGTATCTCTTCTCTTATTTATTTGTACCCTTTAAAATAGCATTTATTTTAAAAAGTCAGCAGGAATAAATAACCTGTTTTCTTGATCTGATCAAGCTGTCCTAGCAAATTACTGAGCCTGAGGGAGTCCTAGGACTTCTGGTCTCAGCCAGCATAGACATAAGTGTTGAGTAACCTGGGGCTGCATTATGTGCTGTGCACTGGCCTCTGCAGTGGAGCAGTCTCCTGAGATGCAGCCACAGCCTGCTGAACCCTGGAAGGTGGTGTCAGAAGTGAACTGTAAGATAGCCAGATGGTGTCCAAGGTAACTGGAGAGCAGCCTGGTATGGAAAACTTACACATTTGGGGCCAGAAGAGTTATGAACATTGAGAAAAGTTTTGTTTTATATCATTTAATTTAGTAAATAGTTGCTTCCCAGAGATCTGCTCATTACTTGGTAACTAAGAGATGAATTCCCCACTTACATGAGGGGGTTCAGCAACAGTCCCAGCCTAAGGACCGTGTCCACTCTGATTTGTGGATTCCAAATTCCCACAATTATTACGTCTCTGTCTTCTCTGCAAGTTATGTTGAAAACGGAGAGCAGAGCCGTGGGGGTCCAGTACTGTGCCTCACAAAGACAAGTACCCCCGTGTTCCTTAGGGTTTAGAGACGCAGTGTCTCCCCAGAGTGCATGCTTTGGAGGCCAGGATTCAGAGGTAGGGCCTTTGGGCGGTGAGGGGCTCGTGGTGGATGAAGCCACTGATGGAGCTGTAGTGAAGTAGACTATTGGGGAGGGGGTGTGGGATTTGGGGAGTGGGGCCTTACTTTGCGGAAGTACACCACTGGCAAGGTCATGGCTAGAAGGGGTATGTTATGTCCCTGAGTCCTTCTTATTTATCTGCCTCTTCTTCTCTTTCTTCATTCTTCTTACCTCACACCTTCCATCTTTCTCCTCCACGTGTATACATTTCAAATGGAAATCTTGCTTGGAACAACAATATTTAAGCATATAAGAGTCAACTCACACTGCTAAGATAGGAGAAGGGATTACAAAGAAAACAAACTATAGAAACCAAAGTGTACAAACTTCTGGTCTGCATAATAATCTAAAGAAATTACACCAAAGTTGAAGAAATGGTCTGTCGTAAAGTGCCTGCAAGGCCCTGAGTTCAAACCCCAACACTGCAAACAAATCACTCCATTTCTCAACACTTGTATTGAATGGAATATATATTTATTTTTACCTACAGACATATAATTATAAAATTGCGATGCTTCGAGAGGTTTTTTTCTTTGTCGCTGTTGTTTTTAATGTACTATGTGATTTTTTTGGTTTCTTCTTTATGTTCTTCCCCCAGTGACAACCTGTCTTCACTGTATTTGATTCCCGTGTCCTGCATCTTATATATACATTTTTTTCTAATTTGGGGAGGGGAAGGGAAATAACAAAATGCTGAAATAAGGATACAGGTTGACCCACTGTAACAATGAGATGTACAAGACACTATGTTGAAAACGAACTTTACAACTTGGGGAGGGGAGGGAGGAGTTGAGAGGTGAGGAGGGAAGGGATGGTAGGGGAAAACAAAGGAGGGGGGAACAACGCTCGATAGGAAGTGTGCTCATTACCTTACTCGTGTAACTGTAACCCCTCTGTACAGCATCTTTACAATTAAAAAATATTTAAAAAGAAAAGCAAAATCGAGCGTGCTTGTGTGGGTTTGAAAAGAAATCTCACCTAAGAAGAAACATAAATGAAATGTATCCAAGGTTCACGTCTGTGCCCCCACTGCTGACTTCTCCTCACAAGACACCATACGGTGTGTTTCAAACCTTTACTAAGGATTGCCTAAGATAATGAGCATTGTAATAAATTAAGGAAGGAAATAATTCCACCCACCGGGAAGGCTGGCCTCCTCCCAAGGAACAGAGCAGACGCAGAGGCAGAAGGCAGCCCTTCACAGTAACACTGCAGAGCCCCTGCTGTGTGCAGCCCGGCTTCACCTCATTCACCGACAGAGGTCACTGTGACACTCCTTCATAGAGACACAACCTGACTGCTCAGGCAGGAGGCAAACACAAAAACTGTGTCTCCCCAAGTGTTGCTGATTACTATTATTGTTATGATTATGTCAATTATTGTCAAGTGCTTTCTTCAAATGACATTTGAGGGCTGTGGTTTTACAGTTATGCAAAGTAAAAAGGTCTCCTGCACACACCGGTAAGGAAACTACCACCACCTACGTGATCACAGGCCTAAGCTGTCCTCATCACAGGCAGGGTCCAGGTCAGAGAGCGACAGGCTAGAGAACATGAGACCATCAATTGACATTGGAGGTGATGGTAAAAAAGAAAAAGCAGCGCTTCCTGGGTTCCCAGTGCCATCGACAGGGGGTATGGAGAAGGGAGTGGGCACTCCTGTCAGGCCATCAAAAACTAGAAGCAGCTAACTGCTAGACCAGTGCTTTGTCTCAGAGAACCAATGAATGCACGGACGGGAACGGGAGAAAGCTGAGGGCTGTGTTTTTATTTTAAAGGGGTCATTTTGAATTCAGCATATTTTCCAACAACCTGTTCGCCAGCTGTTTGAGTAGCTGGAGAGAAAGCCATGCTTATAGATGAGCAAGGAAGACAGGTTATTTGGATCTCACCAGACAATGCCAGGTAGATAGGCTGGCTGACAAATGTTATTCATAACTTTTCGTAAATGGTATAAAGTCACTTGCAGCAAAGAGTCTCCCACAATGAAGCTCAAGCAGCAAAGCAATGTGAGTACCATACTCCGAAAACACTCAGATATCTGCACCGAGATATGGTTTGGATTTCTGCAACCCAGTGATTTTTTTTGTTTGTTTTTTGTTTTTGTTTTGTCAGTCGTGGGGCTTGACCTCTGGGCCTGGGCGCTGTCCCTGAGCTCTTCATCTCAAGGTGAGCGCTCTACCGCTTGAGCCACAGCTCCACTTCCGGTTTTCTAGTGGTTTATTGGAGATGAGAGTCTCACGGATGTTCCTGCCTGGGCTGGCTTTGAACCGTGATCCTTAGATCTCAGCCTCCTGAGTAGCTGGGATTACAGGCCTGAGCCACCGGCGCCCGGCCCACGTGATGTTTTTAAACAATAATCCACACAATAAATGTAGTGCTGGCAGCCTCATGTACACAGTTCATATTAAATGGCTCTCTGCTGACCACAATGAACCACAGAACAATCACAGAAGTTCCACTTACGTTGAGATCCAAGTACAAATCACTTCTGTGTGGCTTTTCTCTCTCCTCATGCAGCAGAAATGGGCAGGGTGGTCCTGCTCTGTAACCCAGGACCCAGTCACCTCCATCTCTGTTGGGAAGGTCTCTGGTTGTCTGCTCATTGAAGGAGTCCCAGGAAAAGCCGTCTGTGGAGCTACCTAAACAAACACAGAGATCATCAATGACAAGCTAGCCAGAACAAAATGAGCCAGCTGTGTTTGGGACCCCTATGAGGACCTATCATCTTATCTTACTCTACTTTCTTAGTTATGTTGTTAGCATATACTAACAACATAATAGTATATACTCTTCTTACTCTATCGGATCTCACTAACAAAAAGCAAAAACATTCCCAACTTAGCAAAGTCTACTAGCTCTATTCTGCCCACGTTCTTGCTAAACACCCAGGGCTACATGGATCATGCTCACTGAGAACAGAGCAGAGATGGAGCCTGGGGGACAGACCAGGAGGCCTGAGCTGCTGATTTTACTATTCAATGGTGGTGCCTGAGATAAGTTAGCAGTGTGGGACACAACATGAGCCCTGTTTGTCTTTATTTCTGGAGATAATTACCAGCATGGTGATTCTCACTTTAGTATGGTCATCTTCTTTGAAATGAGGGTGTTACCCTAGCTCACTCTTACCTACCTAGCCAATTTTTATGTCAGGCCCTGTTCTTCAATGTTTAACATAATCCACTGTTAAGTGTTGCATTTCAAATGGAGAAATGGAAGCACAAAGAGGCTGTGCAGTTTACACAAGACCATAATAAAATCAGTATATGGTACAGCCAGGATTTGATCTCAGGTAGTTTAACAAGAGAGGCCATGCTCTTGTGACTATACGTCTGAATTCTGCCAGATAGTCTTGAAATGATAACATGTATTCTGCAATAAAAAGGTCTTTCTGGTTATAAAAGCAATATAGAGCATCTCTTTGAGAGACGTGATTTACATGCGCATCCTGAGGACCTTAAAGTATCCTTCAGTAAAGAAACCTAACTGTGTAATAGGGTTTTCCACACTTACTTGATCCCAGGATTCATTTAAAGGGGTATCTGCAAAGCATGTGGTGGTCCTTTGGAAAACAGTAGATTAGATCACCTCTGACAAGTCTCATTTGGCACTCAGATCCCTAGTCCTCTCCTGATTCCTAGTAAGCAACATTAGTAAAATACTATGCAACTAGGCAGAAATCAAAGATTTAGCTTAGTAGTTTTGCAAGAGGTATGGCTGTGGGGTATTTATTATACATAATCTCTTAAAAGCCTCTTAGCTTTGACCCCAGGCTACCAATGACTTCCATCCCACCATGCTGAAGCTCTGACTTAAAAGTAACAGGATTTACAATGTGGAAACAAATGTTGTTCTTGTCGTTGTTTTTATTGTACTGCCTATGGTCATTTTTTTCCCTGTGGTTTATTTGTTGCCATAGTTGACTTCTGTCTTCTTTACCCGCTTATATGATTGCGGGGGGTGGGGGGAGAGGGAGCACAGAAACAGTGGGACAAAGGGTGAACCAATTCAGCAGTGAAACTCACTAGACACTATGCTGAAAATGAACCATACAACTTGGGGGGCGGGGGAGACAAGAGTGAGGGGTGGGTGACACTGTTCAAAAGGAAGTGTACTCGTTTCCTGATTTATGGAACTGTAACCCTCTGTACTTCACCTTTACAATAAAAATGTTTAAAAACTAATGGGAGCCGAGAACAAGTCAGCTCACAAAGGGGCTGTGGCACTATGTGCTTCTCCTTTATTTTAGAGTAGCGTTGTTTGTTGTTGATACAGCTAAGGTTTTGCTTTTGGTTTGTTTGTTCCGTGTGTTAAATTTTCAGTCACACTTCCCTGACACACTGTCCCCAAACTGCTCCTTGGGAATCCAGGACAAGACACGGCCTTCCTCCTCTGCAGATCCAGGCCATGGCTTCCCTCACAGGATGAGCGCCTTCCCACAGTACCCTTCACCCCGGCCCGGCCGAGCATGGAAAAGGCTGCCTGCTGAGCACCTCCATTACATCCACACGGAGACCCTGCTAAGCACCTCCTCACAGATACTCTGCCAAGCACCTGTACCCTCTCCTCACAGAGACCCTGAGAGGAAGTTAGTGTAGGGTATACTTTAACCAATGGAGACAGTTCAGAACCCTCTCAGCTCCATGGGGAGGAGTCATTCTCCCTTCAAGAAGAATCCTGCACAGGTTTGGTAAAAAGAAAAGGAAATAATCCAATTTTAAATTTTTGGTGCTCTTAGAGTATCTCACTTCCAAAGTATTTTGGATCCCTTGCTTTGTATCCCTCTGCTTCTCATTTTTATTTTGTAGCAAATGCTGGCTTGGGGGAAAGCATAATGTATATGTGTGTGCATATGTATGTATGTATCACAGAGTGCAATGCACAACACCCAAGACAACGCTTACCTCAGCAGAGGCTCCCTGTCTGGTGAGACTGAGCTCATCATGCAAACATGAGAAAGTGGTAATGCCCATAGCAACAAGACTTTGACATCTTCGATAACACACACAGGGGAATGCACGTGCACACACTTGCAAACACACTCACGCTCCTGCGAGGCCAGTGCTTCATTGGTGAGGTGAGGCATAGAACCCAATTTCACTTATGTGGAGGCAAATTAATGGAAAGTTTAAGCAGAAGCTATAAAAATTAACTTCCATGGGTTTAGTTTTAAAGGGACAGGTTATAAATGGTTAATATTTAGCCAGGCAATATTCCTGTGAAGAAAACAAGTGTGATAAAACCACTATGCCTCATAACTTGGCAAGAGATCATTACAGGGAAAAAAGCAAGGACAGAAAGAAGCAAGATGAAACTAGTTTTCTTGAAAGTTTGACTAAGTTAGGACACAGGACAGATTCAATTTTCCCAAAACACAAAAAATGATCAAATACTTTTAAATGAAGACTTTTATTAAAATAAACACAAGTGTTTCAGTAAAAATAACACATCAGTAAGATAATGCCCATGCTACTCTCTTCAGCTTGGCAAACAATAGAGAGAAAACTACCTGAAATTAGGCAGATATGTCAGAACCATCAACTTCCTTTAGTTTATGATACAGACATGCTTTAGAGTGTCAGATTTTCATTACCTTGTGAAATGCTGAAATGTGTGCCTTATCAATGTACCATTAAAATGTTTTAATATTAGTTAGTTTGCTTCTGAAAGTCATTGCAGTAACTTGATTGATCACACATACACACACAGGTGAATTCACAGCTGACCACACTTAACATAACAGCGTGGGTGTACACACACACACTAGGGGGGCTTACCTGGGGACCAGCTGCAAAATCTGTGCCTTTCCCAACCAGTCACATGATGAGCTTTATTTCCCGAGACTAACCTGTAACATCAGCCTGGGGTTTGCTTGAAAATGATGGAAGCAGTAAGAAAGACAAGGTAGCACACCGTGGGGACCAGGCAGGCCTGCCACCCGACAAGGTAGCGTGCCGTGGGGACCAGGCAGACCTGCCACCCGACAAGGTAGCGTGCCGTGGGGACCAGGCAGGCCTGCCACCCGACGAGGTAGCGTGCCGTGGGGACCAGGCAGGCCTGCCACCCGACAAGGTAGCACGCCGTGGGGACCAGGCAGACCTGCCACCCGACGAGGTAGCACGCCGTGGGGACCAGGCAGACCTGCCACCCGTCCTTCCAAGTGGAATGTGGGCTTTCTGCCCGACTCTGTGGCTCCCTGTACTCTCACCACCGATTTAAGGCCTTTTCTGCTCTGCTCTGTGTCTCCCTCCACGAGAGTCCATGTTTGACACTGCCCCTGGGCCCTGGACCCCGGGTCTGGCTGTGTGACTGGTTGGCTACGTGAATGGCTTTGGCCAACTGCATGAGGGCAAAGCAACAATGCACAATTCTAAACCAAGGCCTAACAGTCCTAGGGCCTTACTTATTTGTTTGTTGTCCTAACGTTTGAACTGGGGGCCTTGGGTTTATTAGGCAGGCAGGTACTACTCCAGCATTTGAGCTATACCTCCAACTGTTTTTTGTTTCATATTGATGTTTACTTTTCACGCAGGGTCTCAGACCTCAATCCTCCTCATTCCTTCCCATGTAGCTGGAGTCACAGTTACATACAACAAGACCAGCTCACTGGTTGAGATGAGGGTCTCATGAGTTTTTTGGCTGGGCGGGCCTTGATGCTTCTATTTCTCTGGGTAGCTGGGATTGTAGGTATGAGTCACCACATCCGGCCTTTACCCCTTTCTTTGTGCTCTGCCATCACCATGAGATAGAAGGCCCTAGAAGCCCAGTCCTGCAGGGATGTTCAAGTGTACCCATACAGGTCATATGAAGCTCAGCCAACTCTCAGGCCAGTGACCAAGAACAAACGTGTGGTAAACCGTTGAGATTCAGGGTCTGCTGGTTGAAGTAGTGGCCGGGTATCCTCTATCCAATCAGCCTGCTCTGGAGGCTCTATAGCTACCATGCAGCTTGTACCTTCCCACTAGAAGGATTAAAGGCCACTATTTTTATTTTCAACCCTGTAGTATACGTAATTGTTCGATGTAGAAGGTCTGAAAACTAGGTGAGAAGTCATAGGGCACCCATCTCCTCACAGTTACCCCAAGATCAACATGCAAATTCATGGAGGCACTGCAGTGCAGCAGGCCCCAAATCTGCCTAAGATCCCAAAATAGAATCACCATCACCAAAGGCAACAGCTCCAAGGAGTGGCTGATCTTCTCCCCAGACCAGAGTTACCCCTGGATTCACAAACTACATTTGCCACTCATGGTAAACCAGGCATGGCCTTTGATCATCTAAATATATCTGAAGACAAACATACATTTCAAAATGCAGGATTGAAAACATACCCTAAAGTAAACACATCTGGAAAAAGTTCTTCTTTACTTTTGGTGGTACTGGGGTCTGAACTCAGGGCTTTGCACTGGCCAGGCAGGTGGCAGAGAATCTACCATCCAGGCTTCTTGTTTAGCTGTATTTTGAATAGGGTCTCACCTTTGCCCAGGCTGCCTGACCACAGCCCGGGGCAGCTGTCCCACGTAGCTGGGATCACGGGCACTGCCAGGGAAGCCTGCTTTTTACCAATTAAAATGGGGTCTTGGGAACGCTCGGCCTGAGCTGGCACTGAATTGTGGTCCTCCTGATCTTAGCCTCCAA